AACCGTCTTTATGGGATCGATCCTTCTTATCACTTACTACAAATTTAAGTTGGTTTTCTATTGGTGGACTCGACACCCATCAAAGGCCCATGAATCCTTCAGCATAAATGGAGCTAGAATTTAGATAGAGAAGTCCAGTTGAAAGAAGCTTGATCACATCCAAATCAGCTGCAATGTTGTTCTTGGTGTACGTCACTATTGACAACACACCTATTTCCAAGACACCAACTTCTCGACTATTTCCCAATGTATTCCACTCTACATGGGCTCTTGATTTCTACATAAAAGATGTAGTCCTTGCTTCAAGGTTTATAACGACCTAATAAACGTCTCAAATGGAGCTATGAATCTTGAGATATGCATTGTTATGAATGGCCAATTCACAAATGTTCAAATGATCACATTTTGTCCACTTTTTGGTTTATATTTTAATATCAATCTAGTTATTTGGTGTAAGATATGGGTCTAGTAATGAAAATTTTATAGATTTGGGGGAAAATTGATGGGAATCAAGGAGCTTCCCATTGAAGTTCTTCCAAATTGAAGGAATCAAAAGTATTCTTGTCAATAAGAGGACGAAGATGGTTTCCTTTCAAGAGTAAGGGAAAGTTTACAAGGAGTTGGCCTTCCATGAAGGAGCCCTCATCTCAATCTGTTGAAGGAAACAATGAGGAAGTGTCACTTAAACATCAAAGTGACGATCAATTATCATGAGTAAAGTGATAGCTTTGCTGAGAATTGGGGTACCAGTGATGATTCATGTGATAGCTCAATTGAAGATGTTACAGAGATCAGTGCAAGTAAGTTTGTTCCAAGGAATAGAGGCAAGGAGAGCATTGAAGATACACACTCTTGAGTTTAGAGATCACTTCATTAGAGTTTGAGGAGTATTTAGATCCATGCGAAGAGTCCGTGTGTGATAATTTTCCATCTCAATGTCAAAGTTGAAGATATAGACAAAGAGTATCAAAGAGGAGGATCGACGAATGGCGCCTTAAAAGGGTGTTTTTATCTTTATTACTTTGATAGTTGGAAAAGATCGTAAATAGATAATAATTCTATTTACCTAGAGTCAAAAAATTAATTTACTATTGGGTTACATTGAAGCCTAACGACCGGCCAAGTAGTCTAAATCATTAAGGGTATTTGAGTCTTTTTATTAAAAGGAGTAGGGTTTATCTTTATTTCTAAGTTAAGTTTGAGTCAGAGAGACTTCGTCTTTCCTTCCTGCAAGTGGAAACAGAGAAGAAGTAGGAAATATATCATTTTCTTTAGCCTAAAGTATAGGTTTAGTTATTGGAGAGCAAGAAACATTCTCTATATTGAGTTTGTATATTTTATAAATAGGTTTGCTTGGTAATAGCACATCAAATTATGTGTTTTGCATGCTTGTTTGCCTTGGTTACGAATAGTTCCTTCTTTTTTTTAAGGGAAATCCAGGGCAGTACCTGATGGAAGGACTTCGCTTTTAGTAATATTCAAAAGAAAAAGTATAAAGAGCAGTGCTTAAGACTTACCCGATAAAAAAAAACCGTTTACAAAAGTTCGTTAAAAACTCCATGACGGTCCTTATACAATTAACAGCTATGAACTGTCTCGCAAAGATATCACTAATATCTCTTGACAGTTCTACTATCTATCAATTCTAGAACTAAGAACAGATTTACAAAAATTGTGCAAAATCCCTTATTAGTTCTTAAAATAAACTAGTCTACATGTACCTAAATTAAACATGATGGATAAATTAAGACTCTAAGTTTCTCTCTATTTAATTCTTATGTATGGAAATGGTTACGAATAGTTCTATTTGAATAGTGTTGTTTGTTGAGTAATGATTTGCTCATTACATGTGTCGACAATTATACGGGTGATTGTTCAAATATATTGAAGAGTTCTATTCTATGCAACTCAATGGTTCAATTCGATTGCTTATTAGATTTTGTGTTTATAGCTTGAATTTGAGTTCATAAGACAGTGTTTTGGTATATCAACGATCCAGTTTTTTTGTGATATTTCTGCACTCTTTTAGAGTTTTACATTTAAACATCTTTATATACTTTTTATTGAGGATTTCATTAATAAAATTTGGTTCGTCTACGAGATTGTAATAAAAAAAAATTGTAGTTTCCGGAAATACGTCATTTGGTTATTTTAATATTGATAATTACTTTTTAAAATAAAATTGAGATTTATTTTAGTTAATCTAAAGAAAAATTCATCTTCAAATATAATTTTAGTTCTTAAAAAATAATGTGGGCATATCTCCGGAACTATGTTGCTATCTGTAAATACAATTGCCTCTGTTCCCTTGAATCTCTTGTGGCTATGCTCTTGTGATAGAGTTTTGGCGACTGTTCAAACTAAAGCTTTCATTGCAGAAGTTGAGAGGACCTCCAGGGGTGCTGCATAAATAGCTCCGACATGAGTGGTTATTTGTCTTGTGGGATCTGCCGGAGGGAGCTGTTGGATAGGTTCTGGCGCTCCTTCTATCATAGGTTGTGATTGTTCTCCGTGCTCCTACTTCTTCCCTCCCCCCTTTTTTGGTGAGCACTGTTTTGGACATATTACTGGAACTTTCTAGATTTAACTCCATTCTCAATTTCTCTTTTCAGTGCTTGACAATTCTCTGTATCGTGACCGTGATCACGGTGATACTCATAGTATTGATCCTGAGATCGGTTAGGATTAGGAGCCACAGATTTTCGAGTAGGGAGTTCATCATAATTGATTTGGAGGATCTCTTTTTGTGGCTTAATTAACTGTGTTAGTTATCAATCGAGTTGTCGATCCATCTTGGGTAACCCATACTTAAACTTGTTGTCTGGCATGGCCTTTGCCCTTTCTTGAGATACCTTATCACTTGCCATCAAGAAAGATTCTTGTGACCATTTTAATGTTTGGTCAGGGTGTATATGATTTTCAACTATTGCCCAAATTTCCTGTGTCCTCTTGGGTGGCTTAGTTGAAAGTTTGATCCGCAGATTGGCCCATTTGCCGAATAGGTTGAGCCCTTGTTTTAAACCACTCTGGATATCTCTGTTGTCGAGATTATATACTTGCAAATTTTTCTTGATGAATCAATGATGAAAATCAAACAAGCTTTCATTGGACCCTTGCTTGACGGATTAAAGATTGATGAACATCTAAGTGATCTGTTTACTTGGAGAGACTCCTATCATGTCAGAGACATATGGCTATTCATTTAACGTCGATCCAAACATCAAATTTGTACAGTATAAGAGACATATCTTTGCTTGAGATCGAAACGATGTGATCAAGAGGAGGCTATTAAGCTCGTGCATGCTGGAATCCTTCGAGAAGTTCTCTGGCCAACATGGTTAGCAAACCCAGTCCTCGTTCAGAAGCCTGACAACTCATGGCGTATGAGCCAAGATTACACATACTTAATAAGCTTTATATGAAGTATTTCTATCCATTGCCAATCCTTGTTCAGATGATAAGGTATCACTAGCTACCGGATCTTAAGCTTCCTCAATGCTTACAAAGGATATCATCAAATATTCATGGCTTAGGAAGATGCCAAAAAAACCGCTTACATCAAAGAGATAACGATGGATAATCATATTTGTTAGATGTACTGAAAACAACTCCATGAATGAGTAAAATGAAGGTTGCATTAATGATAAAGATATCCGGGGAAATCGCTAGAAAAAGATTGAACATGTGGGAGGATCCGAACAAATTCTGCTTTCATTTCCCTCGTATGGAGTACTGTGTTACTTGCGCTACGGTCTTTAGTAGGCCCTCTAATATTCTAGTGCAATATCTTTAGGTAGCAACAGATTGTCCCCTTCTACGTCTTCAATTTAGTGGCTTTCCACCCTTTCCCTCACTCTACTCTTTCATTTCCACTTAACCTTGTTGAAGATCTAGTGGTGCTACCTAAAGACTTAAATGAATAGCCATCGCTGTTAAGAACAACTAAGATCCAATGAGAATTTGCGCATAACTCCTGATCTTTGACATTCAAAAATACGGTTGTAAAAACGAAAAAAAAAAAGACATGTCAAAATTTTTTCCTAGTCAGTGGAACAAGAAAGACATGGATTTATATTAAATACGCAATTCTCCAAAAAAAAACAAAGAGAAATTCCCCTTTCTTTCTTCTTGCTTCGCTCGTGCGTGGCACTTCTTGCTCGCGGAGGGGCATGCCGAAAAAAAATAAAAACATAAACACGTACAACCTTGAAACTAGAGAGCCTTAAAACCATGACAGCATGAGTTTGGTTTAGCCTGTTTGAAACTAAACCGGTTGAAGAAGGAAGCGTATACGGAGATTGAGTAGAGCATAGATTTAATAACTGGGCTTGGAAAAGAGAAAGAAAATCCTGTTCCGCGGGGGGCTGGTATCCGGGTTTAAGAGTTCTTCTTCCTTGTGGCTAGCTTCCTTTAGCTACAATAACTTTTATTGGTAGTATGTGAAAAGTGTATTGAGACGGTAGTTAGCGTTGCACCTATCTTCTGGAATTATATAAACTAGGGAAAAAAAACATGATATATTATATCTTAAGTCGAAAGCAATTGTTGGTTCTTTTTCTTTTTGGTGTGTCATCTTAGGGATAAATTTTTGTATTGGTCAATTGTACTTAGTGTAATATTTAACAATATAAAGTTGGTTGTGGAGCAAAGTTAGACAACTTATCATATCTGTATTAGACAAAACATTAGAAGTATCATATATAATTTTCATGATAATCTTCTAGAATGTATGTGGGTATATGTGTATATAATTGTAGTCATCATAGTTGGTCAGACACCCCAAAATTCCTTCACATAATATTAATACCAAATGATTCCAGATCATTGCAAATGCCACAACTATTTTTAGTAAATTTCAATGAAAAGAGATTTTAACGTTGTCCATTATTCACGGTAAAAATATTTTTTTCCTATCGTTCATGCATATCCTTAATTTCGGTAAATCTCTCACATAAATATAAACCACATTTATTCACATTTTTCTCACTAAATCATTTCCATAATGACTTCCTATGTTCTCTAAACAAAACATAGCATTTTCTATTGGATATTTTTTTCAACACTGCTTTTAAGGAGAAAAAAGCCATGGCTGTTAAAAATTCCTTCTCTTTCTTTTCAATGATGTGTTTGATTTCAATCTATATTCATGTTATTTTAATCCCTTTTCTGGTGGAAGGGTTTTCTGTTGAATTGGTCCATCGCGACCATAGCAAATCTCCAAGCCATGAACCCTCAAAATCTCAATATGAAAGGCTACATGGTGCATTTCTTCGTTCATTTTCAAGGAAAAATTTTCTCAAGGCGCAAGTTACGGGTTCAACAAAGCAAACCAAGAATACAAATGGAAGATCAAAACGACAAATCAAGTCATTCATAATCAATGAGGCTGGAGAGTACCTAATGGAAGTCTCCGTCGGGACTCTACCGTTCACTTTCATGGCAATCGTTGACACCGGCTCTGATCTAACATGGACTCAATGTGAGCCTTGTGCTCAATGTTACAAGCAAGAAGCCCCGATTTTTAATCCTTCAAAAAGTTCATCTTATAAAAAGTTACCTTGCAACACAGCCTTATGTTTTGAGGCTGGTGAATCGAGTTGTGACCAGACAGATTCTTGCGCATATAAGTACTCCTACGTAGACGGGTCCTTCATCGTTGGCAATCTTGCTAATGAAACATTCACTTTTGGAACAAATTCTGGAAAGAACATTTCTATTCCGAACATTGCTTTTGGGTGCGCGCATCAAAATGGAGAACCATTTAACAGAAGCGGTTCGGGACTTTTTGCACTCGGAGGTGGACCACTCTCAATGGTCAACCAATTTGGTGGTGTTATCAATGGCATGTTTTCACATTGTTTAGTTCCATTCAGACAAAACCATAATTTGACAAGTAAAATCAGTTTCGGAACATCTTCTATTGTTTCGGGTAGGAAAAAAAAGTCAACCCCGATGTACCGGGGACCCTTAGACACGTTCTATTTCTTAAATCTTGAAGGAGTTAGTATTATTCAACGAGAAATAAAAAGTGGTGTGGGGTTTACAAATAATATTACAACAAAAACAAAGAGAATCAACGTGACTAAAATGAGTTCTAATGGTGAAACAGTTGCTACATTTGGTCCTAAAAAGGGTGGTAACATCATCATCGATTCTGGTGTGACATTGACGTTTCTTCCTAGACAATTGGCTACGGATTTGGAGGCAACTCTACGTGAATCTATTACGGGCACCATCTCACCAGATCCACAGGGACTTTTTAACCTATGTTATAAGACCGGGCAAGGCACGACGTTCCCAGATATTGTTGCTCACTTCACTGGCGCTAATATCATATTGCCTACATTCAATACATTCTTACAAGTTAGTGATGACTTAATTTGCTTCACATTACTTGGTACTGATGATCTTCCAATCTTTGGAAACTTGTCACAGGGGGATTACCTCATTGGATATAATCTAGTGAATGGCACGGTTTCTTTTAAACAAACTGATTGCTCCAAAGTAATATAATTGATCCATCTCAATATATATAATTATTTTTATTTTAGATGCAATCCTGGTACACCAAATCCATGTTATTCTTTCTTTCTTTTTTTGGGTTAAATTTATAGAATCCATTAGTGAGTTATAAAACCTACAAGAAGTTTATTTATTTGTTTTTTAATTTTTTGGTTGCGAGGGGTAAGAATCGGTAATGATTGTTAATGATTTATGGTTTTGTTACTTATTCCTACAAATCTATGTACTATTTTTATGGAAAACCTAGAGAGAACTAGGATGGCTTTCCTATATTCCTATGTGTTAAATTTTCTAAATTATCATATTTATTAGAAGGCAAAAAAACTCCAATTATAAGTCTATAATGGTTGACTTACTGCCTATGCTAGTTTTATAGGATCACGTCGTAGTTTGTTAACAAAGAATCCTTTCTAATTTTAAACCCATTAAACTCATTCATAATCGTTGAGGCTTGAATTTGCTATATGAATTCCCTGTTATGCGTTAATCTTCTATCCAAATATCTTGGATTCTATGGACTGAATCTTCAAAGAAGTTTTGATCTTTAGATTTGACTTTGAATCTGCAACAAAATTTAGAGATTACCTGGCTGTAAGTATATCAACATAATCCATAAGGGTTCTCCAAGTTCACAGATTCAAATTTCAATCAAAAGAACATTTACTTTCATATTGAAAAAAGTACAAATTATAGATATTTAGAGGTGCAGACGTCAATCAATTCCAGGTATCTTAAGAATTTGATGCGATCGAAGATCTTAGCTCAATAAAGGGCAAAACTAATTGGAAGATTAATGTTCACGTACCCTAAGTTTGGAACCCGTTGTTTGTAAGATGTAGCCTTCAGGGGCTCCTAATTTATGTAAAGGTAGCAATTAATTGTTCTCTATTTCTCATGTGCCATTTTTGTGTCAATGGCACAAACAACCTTTGTCAATATGTCTTTCACTAATTTCCCCGGCCTAATTGATCTTTTCTTTTTTGTTTTTGGTTTATGATGATTTTAGAGTCAAGCATACTGCAAGACGCTGATTGAATATTTAAGAACATTTTTTTTTAAGTTTGAAAGGAGATATAGTGTGGTTGTAAAGCAGTACATAAATGATGTCTACCGACATTGCAAAATTGACTGAAAAGTCTATTTCTACAAAAAAAAAAAAAGAAGAAGAAAAAAAACTCGACATATAATTATGATTGTCATCTCATTCGTTACTAGTTTTGTTTCTTTCTACATAAGTTTGTCAAGGAATTGCGCTTATCATTCTTTCTTTCTTTTTTTCTTTTTTTTTCCCTTTCTATTTATACATTTGTTTTATTCCTCTTCTTTTGTTAATAGGTACTCTCAGTTTTAGATGAAAGAACCACTGACATACAAGAATTTGTAGAGTTCTCTGCATTAATTTAATGCCATATCTTATTAGAAAAAATAAACAAGTACAATTAGTTACTAAATCATGTTATTCGGATTGCTAGAAGTCCTTTGTACGTCATTTTCAATTTACCACCTACCTACAATGATATTTTTATAAGGGATGTAATTATGCAAATGCTTTCGAGTGGTGAATTTTATAATTACTCATTCCCAAATTAGATCGATCACAACTAATTAATATTGCTTACATACAAAGTATATATGACTTAATTGTTTTCACTAAGGACAGCAAGAAATCAATGGAAAACCTGAACATTTTCTTCCAGGAATACAAAGATGCTACTGGACAAAAAATGAATAAACAAAAGAGCTTCTTTTTGACATCCGAGAAAGTTCCAGAAGATCGAATAGCCCTAATCAGCAGGGCACTCCAAATGCCAAGGGGTACTTTTCCATTCCTCTATCTCGGTTGTAACCTATAAAGGGCGGAAAAAGGCATCATATTTCCAGCACTTGTTGGACTCCTTTGAGGCTAGACTTCCACAATGGAAAAATAAATACCTCTCCCCGAGTGGCCGTATAATTTTGATTCAGAATGTCCTCTCTGCCATTCCTATACACACAATAGCTGCAATGGAGCCTCCAAAGGAAGTACTTAATGAACTCGAGAGAAAATGTCAACGGTTTCTTTGGGGGATGACAAAATATGGAGAGAAACGACACTGGCGAGCATGGAATCAGCTTGCTTACGTATCCGACAGCAGAAACTGGAGTGGGGTTTCAGTGCCTTAGCGATGATGTCAAAGCTTTCTCTTCAAAGCTCTGGTGGAAATGGAAGAATTGCCAAGGAATTTGGGCAAATTTTTTACACTCCGTTTCGGATACAACAAAGAAAAAAACATGCTGGAAGAGGATTCTGAAAATTGATGAGTTTGCAAGTAAACAAACCAAAGTGATATTGGAAAGAGGCAACACTTGTTTCTAGTTTGATGTTGGCTTGAAACAGGGCAACTTTGGGCTACTCACATGTTGAGTAAACCCCCTTACGAACACCTCCAGGTCAGAGAATTTTTTGAATAAAGAATTTTTTCTATCTAATTTTTCAGATTACTTGCAGCCGCAGGTCAAGCAACAATTGGAGGCCATGAATCCAGATTTTAGCATGGAAGATGATCGCCGAATTTGGAAACTATAGCAATAGGGAAGTTCGAGCTCTCAACAGCATATAAGGCATTGAGGCATCCCCGAGAAGAAGGTCAATTCACAAAAATATTTTGGAATAAGTTCACTCCTCTTAAAATCTCTTTTTTCCTCTGGAAACTTTATAATGATTTGATCCCATTTCCTAAGAATTTAGAGAAACTAGGGTTTTACTCAAGACCTTCAAAATGCCCTTTTTGTCTTATCTCGGGAGAAAGCATCCCACATGTGTTCCTGGAATGTAGGCTCACGCGAAAGGTATGGCTCCACTTTTCATCTAGGTTAAGTCTAATAATGTCTTCCAATGTAGGGTTGTGGCATTATTTGAGTTCTTAGTATACTGCAGGAGGAAACAAATCAATTAAAAGAGTAGCGGTCCACATATTGCCGGCTTTCTGTATTTGGGAACTTTGGAAAAGCAGGAACAAATATGTGTTGGAAGGAAAAAAGTTTTTCTTGGAATCAATAATTCATGAGGTGAGGTTAAATGTATCAAATGTATTAAGTCTTCATGAATTATTTTCACTTTCTGTAAATGAGCAACAGGAGATGGAGAGCATCTTTCAAGTAAAGATTAAAGCGCTAAAGCAGAAAAATATAGATCTTTATCTTGGACGCCACCCAATGCTGGAGAGATTATTCTCAATACCGATGGATCGGCGCTAGGAGCCCCAGGTCAAGCGGGTTGGGGCTATGTAGTGAGGGGCGAACATCGGAGATTTATTAGAGCTGCAAGTCAGTCGTGGGGGAAGGTTTTAGGATCAAGGCAGAGATAGAAGGAATTCTCAATGGAATTAAATGGTGCGAAGATCAAGGTTTCAGGAACGTGTACATTCAGACGGATAATCAAGTAGTTTCTCAACTGTTGACAAACGGTAAAATCTTCCCTTGGCAACATCATCATGCCTTAAGAGAAATAAAAAATATCATGGAGAGAAATGGATTTAAAATTCAGCATATCTTTAGAGAAATCAATTGTGTAGCGGACGGTCTATCCAACCAAGCATCTAGAGGGACATCGATGCAATATAATAGACTCTTAGACTTACCAAGATTTTTGAGAGGTTTGTTATATCTAGACCAAAGATCTTTCCCTTATCTTAGAGTTAGATAGAAAGTCTAGGCATTATAGAATTGATAAATGATCTGTTGGGGGGGGAGGGGAGGGGTGAGGGGGTTTACAACCCTTTGTAAAACAGCTCATAGTTTTTCTATTTAATATGTTTTATTATAGCTTATAGAAAAGAACTGTCAAGGGATAATAGCACATCCATGTAAGACAGTTTCTTAGTATAGCATGTTTAAGAGCCATCATGGAGTTTACTAGATGAACTTTTGTAAGACGGTCTCTCTTTTGACTCAGGTAAGTCTTAAGCACTGTTTTTGTAATTTTTTATTTTAATTAATAAAATCGGGCGGATGTCTGCCAGGTACCGCCCTGGTTCTGATAAAAAAAAAAGAAGTGTAGTTTAAATATTGTTTACATTAAAAGTATATATATTGCAGCTTTCGGGATCAAAATTGTGAATACCTGATTTTTCAAGACATTTTGGAGTATGCTCGCTGAAGCGGTTGAATCTTTAGTACTCTAGAGGATTCCAAAGTATATTTATACTTTACGTTAATTATGAGGTGTTGAAAGTTTGGGGTAGATTATATATTTTAAATATTACTTCTGGTTGTTGCTGCAGAGCTGTATTTCGAAATTCCAGTGTGCAAAATATATTTCATCATCAATATTCAATGGAATGGTGTGAAACTGAATTCATTATGCTCTGGAATTTGCATTTGTAGCAAGCAAATTTTGCATTGGAGCAATTATTTTATGATTCAATACTTTTTTTGGTTGAAATGGCTATACTAAGTGAACTATACCATTGAATATAGACATTTGAGATAAGTTGAGTAATGACCACAACATCATTGACATTGGAGATTTCAAAGAGCAGTGTACCAAGTTTGTCCATCTCTATATTCATGCAAATCTAATCTATTTTTGTTAAATAAATAAATAAATTAGTCAAGAAAACCTCTCATAGTTCATTGAGTATGTTAAATTAATTTTCTTTTAACAATCCCGTAAGAATATGAGTGGATTAGCCTTTAAAACAAACTAGTGAAAATATATAGTGCAATGTGAGTAGGATGTTTCCATTGAGGTACACAAAGACAAAAGACCAACTGAGGTCAATAAATCTCTGTTGTATATTAGAGTTGTTGAAATCTCAATATGTTGCCCATAGATGATAATACAAAAGGTTAGACTTTCATGTATGTCATCATTTTATTGATTTCTTTTTTTCTTGAATTATTCCAAAAATGATTTTCGAATAAATAGGTGGTTAGCTCAAGAAGTTGAAAGGCCAAGTTTATTGTGAAACAAGCTCTTCAACAAAAACAAAATAATAAAAAAAGGTACATTTACTTGACATTCAGTGAGATTTTTTGAATATTCTCTTGAGTGCAATTATTTTTTACTTGAAGTGGTGTATTTTTTGAGTTTGGTTTGGAATGCCACCTATTATTTACTTGACATGATGGACCCTTAGAAAAATCTATGAAAAGATACCACATATGATAGTATATATAAG